TATTTAAAATTCATTGCATTGTTATAGAAGGATATGGGCGTCCGCAAAATTTTTCCAGGAGTGGGAGAGGGGGGCAAAGTAGTGTGAAATTGTGAATTGAATAAATAATTCATATACATATACTGCATGAATAAAGAAATAATTATGTTTCTCATTTTCCAATGGTCAAGTGCCCATCTTGCCCCCGTCCTCCTTCTGCGGACGCACATAAGTGGGTTGGTACATCCAATACATCTACTGACCATATTGTATTTTGTCCAGCTTGCACACGTTTTTTTTTTTTTAGTTATTATTCTAACTCCGTGTTGATGACAGCTGCAATTTAAGAATACAACTTTTTTTCTTCCTTGACGATGGAGTTTGAAGGCCAGCGATCAGGAACGGAACCAATAATCTAGTGGCCTTGATATATTCAATATTTTGTATAACTCCTTTAATTAAATGTCGTGGAACAATGAGTAAGATAGAACAGTTAATCAGCGAACGACAAATTCCGGTATCCTTGAAAACTTAAGGAAAATCCGGAGAGGTTTTGATATTGTTATCATCAATCATATGAATAGGACGTGTCAGAAAGTACGGTTAAGGTGTATATTTGTTGCATATACTTACAATTTTGTTTTACATTTAACTACACGTTTTAAACCATAGCATAATTTTTAAAAGCTTATATCACAAGCTTTCGTGCTATGAAGTGATATTTTTCTATTTTTTAAAACAAGAGGAAATCTTCAATAGCCGCGGTACTTGAAATTCTTTTGGGCAGGATTAAAGTAAATTAATCTATGATACCTTTTTTTTTTTCTCATTATTAGCTGCCCCCCAGTGGCACAAATACCAAATGTGATGAAGATCCACCCACAGGTCGTGGTACGAAACGTCCATAATAACCGCAAAATGCAAAACGTAAAATGTGTATGTACCCCCCCCCCCCCGCATGGATCTAACGAACTTCCATACCAATTTTGGTGAAGATCCATCCACACCCTGTGAAGTAGTTACATAGAAATACAACAGACGATAAACAATATTATTATATTTATATAGATTCAACCTCTGTTTAAATAACCAAAGAACATGAATAGTTTTCAGCGAGCTTATTTCTCGCTCTGGTTGATTCACCTCCTTATTTCAGGACACTCCAATTCCTTGCATCCAATCAGCAGTTTTTGTTTATAAAAAAAGAAAAGAAAACTGAAATAGTATTCATACACTTGATTTTAAGGTCACTAGAAAAACTGTTGGGAAGTTTGATACCATAGCCAAAATATCTTACACTTGATAATATGTTTGGTGTGGGCAGCAAAATTTATTGAAGAACTTAACGGTATGTTTGAAACTGATATACTTGATTAAAACTTAAGATAGTGGCATTGTTGGTTTATACAAAACCTGATTTATTAATACGTTTTTCTTCAACCTCATATTTCCATCAGAGTGGAGTCAACTGGTTGTTTTTACCTAGCCATAAGTTGCTGTTGTTTTGTTGTTGTTGTTATTTGTTTTAGATCAAAACCACATTAGGCTATCTGATGTGTCCCCCGATGGAATCGAACCTCGTATTTTAGCGTTGTAAGTCCGTAAACTTATCGCTGATCCACCAGGGGACCCGTAAATTGATGAGAGAACAAAAGCTAGCAAAGTGCAATGTGTCAGTGGTCCAAGACAACGGCAAGCTTGAGAATATATAGTTTTAAAATTCGAGATTTGATCCCCGCATGTGCAGCTTTAGATGCATAGAACTGTGAACGCATTTAGTCGTTATAAACAACTGTCTATATTTGTATGACACGATAAACATGTATATCCAAATGACTTTGAATATATGACAGTCTAAGGAAAAAAATATTGCACTTTGTATATCTATATTGTAAGAAATCTCATAAGGCAGCCACAACGGCGTCATTTTATTGGGACGATATCAAAACAAGCTCAAACATTTTATCCTAAACATTGTAGCCTGTAGTGTCGTCGAGGCCAGCTGGTTACAACCACCTTTAAGGCCTAATTGAAAAATATTTTAATTTTTTATATAAATACACACACACACACACACACATAAATATAGTCAAAAATAAATAAAAACAGGAACTGCAGTTAAGTAAATTTTTACATCAGAAGTGTTAAAAACAGCTTGACAACACCTTTGATAGTAAACTAATACTAATGTAAAGAATAAAGCTTTGTTCCTTAAACAGTATGTATAATATAAATACCTATTGCCATAATATAAAAAACTGTTTGATTTAAATATCAGTGATTGAGTTATATTTGTGGGTGAATATTTTGTTCTTTTTACGTTTTGTTATAATAAGAGTTAAAAGCAGACGATTGTAAAAGGTTTTG